GGCACCGCGCGATTACGGTCCGCGTTTGGCGCGTGTGTGTGCGCGTGTGCGCGCGCGCGCGAGAGAGACTGGGAGAGAGGGAAGGTTACGGGAAGTTTCCCTGACAGTCGGGGTCCTGCTACATGGCTGCCCCCTCCTCCTCTACCACAACCACCCAGAATAATTCTGCTCCCCCTCCTACCGTAGGGGAAGCTGTCGTCTGTCACCTTTTTGCCCTCCAGACCTCAGATAAGCTGTAGGGAATTGTTCCTGGTGGCGCCCTACTGTCTCCGGAGGTTGTCCTTGCCCGAATTTTAGAGACTGAAACAGTAAATACAATTAGACGTTAGAAGTCAGGAGTTTGCTCACATCGGCAGAATGGAGCGTTCACAGATGGCCTTAGCAGCATGAAACAATAAGTAAATGGAGTCCGTTTGTGGGGAAGGAAGCGGACGTGATGCCAGAGACCAAAGGAACAGCATATAAAGTAAACGTCAGCCGTGCGTGCAGACTCTTTAATTCTCCCAAACCGTCTAACAGCCCATGGGTGCACTGCTTCCTGAGGCTCCAGGTGGTGAAGGGAGATGGCTTTTTGCGATCAACCCTACAGCCTGATCCACAGACCTTTCAAAAATAGCCTCCATGAAGGGATATTTTTGTCACCAGGTCTGGGATTCCTGCTAGGAGCTAGATTGCCCAGCAGCTGGAGTTCAGAAGACCAAGGGGCATGTCTTTCCTACCCTTATTCACCCTGGAGTTGATACGAGAATTTAGTGAGTTAACATTTGTAAAAACAAATAAAACAAAAATACTTAGAACAATCACTCACATAGTAAGTGAAATAAAGGATTTGTTCTCTAAATCCAATCAAGTGCCCATAGCATTTCATCTTCCAAGACTCACCAGCAGTAGAATTACTGAACTTCCAGGAAGGCACTCTGGTTGAGGGCAAAGTTAGAGTTGTTATGTTCATCCAACCTGAGGAGGAAGAGAAGTGTCAGAACCGTCTGGAATGCCTTATAGTGCCTTTCTTCTGACTTTAGCAACCTAAAGAGTTTCCCCAGAGACGCAGAACTGGAAAGAACATTGTCCTGGGAGGTAGGACAAGATGGAGGCAGCCACCTTTATGACTGTTAACGTCTTTGGACCTCAGTTTCAAACTCTGCAAAAATCATAGGGTTGAATTAGAGGACCTGAAAGATTTTTTCACATCTGAAAACCCAGTTGCTTGGGTTATCCGGTATAAAACCCAGTCTCTGGGTGTTGGTCCTGGGTTTCTTTCCTCGCTTCCTTCTGAGTTTTTCTTGTTTTTCTTTCTTCCTTCTTTTCCTCCACTTTCCCCTCTCCAGTTTGCTTTGTATTTGCTGTATTCCTGTCTCATTCCCATGCTTTTTGTTCTCCTTGGGCAGTCTTGTCTCCCACACGCAGAGTGAAGCCTTGAGCACTCAGAGCACTTGGCGGTTAGATGCACACTGATGTGACGTGAGCAGCAGGCAGCTAGGGGAACTGTACGTGCAACTCTCAACTTAAAATAATAATGTGGGAAGGAGAGAGCTAAAAATAAGGAAAGGAGGTGTGAATTATATAACTGATGGCACAGCTCTTGACAGGCAAGCTGAGAAAAATACATGGCTAGGTGGTAAATATGGCAAGAATATAAATGCAGTTCAGAATTGTTTACATGTCCTGCAGAATTTGAATGAGATGAAAGGTGACACATCAGTAAGAAAATTGTGACATTGTTTCAGAGGCTCATAATATATAAATTGACCTTGTGAGTAGGAGAAGGGAAGGTACTACAAAGGAAATGTTGACAAAAGGGAATCTATCGATTTACCCTGTTACTGATAAATCATGGTTATGTTTTCTTTTTCAAAATTAATTTTTATTATATTTTTTGAGATTAAAAATAATGCAAATGAGATTTTTTTATTTTAGTGAAATGGTAGTATTATATATATGTACTACTTTGCTGTAAACACAAAATATCATTGAAATTTCATGCCCTCCATTTTCCACTGCAGGATTCGGGGTTAAGGTTTCATTATGTTGCTGCTGGAGAAAGAGGCAAACCACTTATGCTGCTGCTTCATGGGTTTCCGGAATTCTGGTAAACGTATCAACTAACGTTCTCTTTTGCATTAGAGACTTGGCTTATCATAGTGTCCTTCTCTTGTAGTGACTTTAAAGAGACTCCACTCTATGATCAAGTGATTGCCTAGAATTATTACTCCTAAATGTTCCTCAATCACAGGAATGGTTTTCCTTCCATTTTAAAGAAACATGCGTATTATCACCCTAAGTTTATTTTTTTGAGAATTAAAAGAAATATTTTTTACTGTTTCAAATTTCTGAACTAGTCAATTATAAAACAGTTTTTATAGTACCTACTGTGGAAAAAATACAACAGTGGGTGGAAAAAGGAGAATTGAAAAAAAACCCAGTAGCTCATCACTTTTCCAGAGCAAAAAGTCTACAGATGCCTCTTCCTGAGATTCTCCCCCCATGAAGATTCTTCTCTCTTCTGGATTTACCTGCATAAATCAAAACTAGTCATTTTCATGTTAAACTTTTTCTGTTCTTCCGTCTGGAGATAACTTAACTAGGTGGGCAACAGCCGGGTGCAATCAAGCATGCATATGCGGACTCATTAGGGGAGTGCTTGACATGATTGGCTCCCACATAAAATGTTAGTCTGAAGCTTTAGTCAGACCTGCGGAAGGTAAGCGGGGCAGTGAATTCTGGCTCGACCACTTGCTGCAGGACCCTGCGCAGTCAGCCATCCGCAGTGATCTTGCAGAGTGGCTGTGAGGGTATGAAGAGTCCAAACACACGCAAGGCCTTTCCCGTGGCCTAGCGAGCACTCAGCAAGTGCTCGGATCCTCCCTTCCTCCCCGTTCACTCAGGCGGGGCCCCGCGCGGCAGCCCTAGCATCCTTGGGGCGTTTATTGATAAAATCCCTTCCACTCGTAACATGTTCCTAGCGTGTATTAAGCCAGGACTTCGGATGACACACAGTCTTTAAAACTCTAGAGGAGGTGAGGAACGTGTAATGGTGGACTTCTAGGTGTTAAGAGCGATATAAGGGAGAAATTTGGGATAGGGTGTTGTCCTACCCTGTAAAAAATAATTTCCTGATTCCGGCTGATGACGATGATGATTGTTAATGTTTACTGACCATTTATTATCATGTGCCTGGCATGCTTCTGAGTGCTTTAAATGTATCGTCTCATTTAAGCCTCATAGCTGCCCTTCTGAAACTGGCAGCACCGGAAAGTACGGAGCACCTCCTTGTTGAACTCCAGAGCTGACCTCTGCTCTGGGAGATCCTGGCTACGTAGGGACGGTAATAATCCAGTAGCATACGTGGATTTTTATCCTTCAAATTTAACACCTTATAGAAAAATTCAAGAGGGTGTTAAAAGTTAACCAACAATACAAGTATACCTTACTGTAACATTCATTCTAAATACAGTTCATGATCTGAATTGGGGGGTGATATTTGAATTACTAGAAAGAGAAGATTTAAAGACTAGTCTCACTGTCTGCCCCACACCAACCCCAACGTGCGTCTGTGCGCTTTTTCCTCCTGGAACTTCACTTCTTTACATGTGGAGCAACCTACAGGATGATAAAGATAAACCTGCAACCACTTCAACCGCTTGGTCACTGTTTTGAGGAGTCCCAGGAAAGAGCAGTGATGCCCATTTAGTGTAGGACAGTAGATGGCTCTCTGCCACGTTTTAAGAAATGATGCTTTTGCACATTTTCACAGCATTGTCCCCTTAATTACTCCTCATGGGAGTTCCTTTGCAAAATAGCAATGCCTGGTGACCCTTGTCCGTGTCCTAGAACCCTCAGTGGGCGGGACAGCCTGGGAATGGCCCAGCACCAGTCGCTGGACATCAGACCCATTTGCTCTAGCAAAGTCAGGTCTCAGGTATATCCAGAACGGATCTGGTCGTTGTGAGGAGTGGCTTAGTTTTGAAAAAAACTCCTAGAGATATTTTCACTCTAAAGAGCATAAATTAGAAAGCATATGCAGATCATAGCAATAAGCCCGTTTCTCTTCACCAAGTGTGCTGTTTTTCACTCCAGCAAGAGCCTTGCTGTAATGTAAAACAATAACAGCAAACCTTGACAGTTCAGCTACTCAAACAGACCATACTGATTTCACTGAACTTCGCCAGCCATTAGTCTGAGAGCTAACCTGGTTGTTCAGGGAGGGTCCTAGAGCAACTGCGCGGAGATTGCTGATAGCCAAACGTTGCTCTCTGAGTATGTCGTGCCCTAAACCAAGACCTCTGTGTGGACGCTTACTCTGTCGTTCCTTCCAAATCACCCCTGTTACCCATTGTACAGTCTAGTCAGGTCCGTTCACATGCTCCCTGCAGGAAAAGGTCAGTTCAGATCAGGGTCTAGGCTGACGTTGTTTGGCTTAAGCCGCTTCACGTCTCTGTCCTGGGCTTTCCCTCTTTCCCCAAAAGCTCCTTGTCTTGTACTTCTCCCTTCTTTAAAAGCCAAGAAACCTTCATGTCTGGCATTTTAAACCAGTTTCAATTTATATTATAAACATAAATATTATTCCTCTGTTAATCAAGTTTTGCCTAAATGCACATGGAATTGTAAGCTTGTTTCTAGGTCGTGTAGGTCAGATTACTTGATACAGTGAAAACAAAATAATCATAAATTGGCGATGTGTATGAAAGCGATGTTCAAGTAGAAAAGCTACAAATGTGTTATTTGCATTTAACATCGTTGACTAGGGATAGCTGTTGAGAATTGGTGACATTTATTACATACTATTAAGATATGTACAGAAATCATAAAATTCTGGGTCTTCTTTCTTAAAATCTAAAGGAACATCAAACAAGATATACATCTAAGAGACCTTCAGCTAAATTAGTCCAAAATAAGGCTGTTTGTCAAAGATGATTTTTCTCCCCCCTCTCTCCACGTCAGTCTGGTTGCTTTTAAAAATACTTTGAGCTGATGCAGGCAGTTTCTGCAATACACCAGCTGTATGGGACGCATTCGTCATTGCTCAAGTGCAGGGGCACGTGCGGCTCTTCGTACTTACAGCTGAGCACCAAGGCTGGTGACTGGCTTTTTCTCTATTGTGAAGGGGATGAAAATATTCTACATCTGAAAGAGGCTAGCCTGGCAAACCAGGAGCCCTCCTTGTGTTAAGAACAACCACTGAGAAAGGGCTGCTTGCTTTGAAGTGTCCTCTGCTATTACCTAAAGCTACCAGAGGGGGAAGAACAATGTGGACGGAAGAGCTAGTTTTGTTTATTACAATACTTTCAAGAGTGACTGACTTTGTAATGTGTTACATTCCCTTTATCAAGAGGCTTGTTTTGGTTTTATTCATGTGAATGACGTGCCCACTAGCCTATCACTGGGTGGCTTCTTTTTCAGTTTAAAATATAAATCAAATATGCTTTATTTATGAACTCTAGGAAGATTACATTTAAAAAGTATTCTTTTGTAGTTTATTAAGATAGCAGTTACAACCCTTAAACATTCTTAGAAATGTTTAGGATAGAATTTGGCTCCGCTCATTGATAACAGCAATAGTTGGATTTATTTGTCAGGCAATTTAAATTATTCATAAGATAATGAGATATGCAGGTATTACATTTGCAGAATCTCTAATCCATTAAATGCAAAATGTTATAGGATTGTACACATTATTTTGAGTCAACTTTCTACCTTGAAATCTCTAATTAAATTAATTCCCAAATGAAGACACAGGTACTTAAGATATTAAAACAATGCACATTTTAATAGAAATTGAATATAAATTTCCCAAAAGGAATCTGGGAATTTGTCATTATCTCAAGGTTTGAACTGGGACAGAGATTTATGAACAATTGTCACAATTCAATGCTTTCATTTGTTCATTATTTCACTTAGTCAGCAAATCTTTATTGAGCACCTACCTATGTGTTTTGACATCCTACCAGACATTCAGGGAGCTCATCGTCAAGTGCAGGTGCCGGACAACAGGGTAATACAGAGCACGTGCCCAGTGCCCTGAAGAGCGCGCGGACTGGTGGGCGAGTATAGGAAGGGCCCCACCCAAGCCGCTGTGCGGGAGGGAAGAGGAGCCACCCAGCGCGAGGAGCTGGCGGGGGGGGGGGGCGAGGGTATGGTGGGTAGCAGGGCGACGGTGGGCAGGGATGATGCTTCAGACAAAGGAAATCGTATAAACAGAGTCAGAAAAGCAAAAACCAAAGCCCGTGTTTACTCACTGCAGGCAGCTTAGTGCCACAGAGGTTCTCAGGCCAGAGAGCCTGGGTTTGAATCCTGGCTCTGCTGTTTGCTCATTTTGTGACCTTCAGCACATCCATGAACCTGTCTGCCGCCTGTCTGTTCATTTCAGGGTTTCAATTAATTCTGCAATTTTATTAGCAAGCACAGGAGGCACACCTGGCCCAGCAAATGCTTCCAGGACTTGCCTGTAAAGTGGGGATAATAACAACACCTTCTGCATAGGATTGTTTTAAAGATCAGCATCACTCTACGTGAAGCACTTAGAATTGTGCCTGACGTGTCGTAGGACAGATGCATCACACAACAGCGTAAAGCAGTCAGGCTGGACGACTGGGCAGGTCGGATCCGGAGGTGCTGTCTGCCTGAGTAACGTGCCTGGGCTTCGTTTTGTGAGTACCAGGGAGCCAGGAAAAGATGTCACGCAGGGAAATGACATGAGAGAGTCTGTGTTTTTGCTACATCACTCTGGTTTTATAGAAGACAGAGCCAAGGGGAATGAAATGGACACAATTAGACCAATCGATAGGCATTAATGGAGGCCTGAATGAAGGTAATGACATCAGAGATGGACGGGAAAAGTGAGTAAGTAAATATTTAAGAGGTTAAATCTACCGAACTTTATTGATTGGTTATGAGGGGTTATAAAGAGGGAAGAGCTGGGTTTTAGCTACAAAGGCATAAAAAAATCAGTTCAAAATTTTAAGTAAGACTATGAGAAACCATAGATGCTGACAGATGAGTATCCTTAGGAAACAAACTGCTTTGTTCATTTATTACAACCCAGAGACAGGATTATCAAGATTGTTATGGCCTTGCTAAGAAAGACACTTTTTATTAACATTTTCAAATCCATCTTAATTGGCAATGCTTTTGCAGATTTTTACGGATCATGCATATCCTAATAATAGATCAAAGATTCTGCATCCATTCATAATTTCCAGATGCACGTCTGACACCCGTCCTGATAACCTCTGTTGATGTGAGGCTTTTGGTTTGCTTTGTTGTTCTCACTGCTCTGTGTCACTTCACGTCGCAGCCCCTCTCACACCACTGGCTTATCATCTCAGGTCACTCTGTTCACTTGCCTGTTGCACTCCAAAAATCTTTTCGAAGGTTTCTCATTTGGCTTGTGTCAGATAATTTTACACTGGGTTTCCATGAACAGGTGTGCGTGCAAATGCTTTTTTTTAATGCATGTTTTGAGTTCCTTAACACAGTGAGTCACTTTGAAAACTCCATGTCTTTTTTTCCATTTGTTATCCAGAATGATTTTGCTTATTAAAAGTCTCATGGATCTCTGTTTTTCAGTTAATTCTGCAGTTCTTGTTATCAAACACAGGGGCCACACCTGGGCCAGCAGAGGCTTCCAGGGCTTGCCTGTCGCTGTGGCCATTGTGACTGGCCAGCGCCTGTGCCATTTTGGTCATAAGCGGTTTCACACTTGCTTGTACTCAGGGTTCGGGACCTCCTCCCCCGAGGAACTTTGTTCTGGCAAGCAGAGGTTTGTCTTAAGCAGTTGTCTCATCAGATTCTTTCAGTGATAATCTTTTCTTAAATTGTCAGACCTTTTTTAATCCATGAGTAAACTGTTGTTATTACTAACAATTGAGCCCTACCTGCCAGCGGAGTAAGGTGAGCAAAATCTGCCTTTTAGGAAGATATATTTTCGTCAGGTTTCTTCAGCGAATCACATAGTACGATGTGCAGCAGCATTTATAGGTAGCAGCTCCTTGAGAGTGGTAAGCATGATTGCGGAAAAACAGAAAATTGACTTCTTAGGTACATTTCTTAAACTTTTAGTATCTGATATTTTGTTACACTCCCACTGGAGCTGATTTAAAAAATGATATAATTTTAATAAAGAATGTCAGTGCTTCCTTCCTGAACAGTTCTTTTCTCTCCTGCCCCCACACAGTAGTTTCTCAAAAATGAGGACTTTCTTATAGTTTTCCACCTGGAAAATCTGTACCGTTATTCTTCGTATTAGTTACTGTGGGATTTTTAACGCTCCTTGTTTCCTGCAGGTATTCTTGGCGTCACCAACTAAGAGAATTTAAAAGTGAATATAGAATTGTAGCGCTGGATTTGAGAGGCTATGGAGAAACAGATGCTCCCAGTCATCGAGATAATTATAAATTGGACTGTCTCGTTACAGACATAAAGGATATTTTAGACTCTTTAGGTAGGTTTTAAGAAAACAGTATTAATTCTTTTTAAGGGACTAACATTCAATAAATTGTGAATTGATAACCTGAGTTCTTGGAGGGGTGCACTTTCCATCTACCTGAACTGTTACCTGCATCCTGTCGCCTGTATACACATACAGCTCCAAGTATTCACAGAGGGAATTTAAAATAATATACCCAGAATAACTGTTCAGTCCACCAGCCAAGAATGACTCTCAAAATTTGTTTTTAAAAATTGGCTTAATGTATACTATTTATTATTTTCAGAACTAATTATTAGAAATTTGATTCTTGTCCTCAGAAAATTTTTTTCTTCAGAACCCACACCTAAATAGTCCTTTTAAAATGTAAGATGCAGAAATGCTTGCATTATCTCTCCTGTACTGATCAGCTAGTCCCACAATAATGTTGTGTAACAAACCACACCAAGCTCAGTGGCATCCGGTGTAGGCATTCGTTCTCAGGCCCCTGGATCTGCAGCTCAGCCGTAGCTGGACCCCTCTGGGTCTTTGCCTCAGGCTACGGGTCCAGCTGGGACTGGCTTCTCCCTGTGAGTTGGGCTGTAGCCCCAGGAAAGGGGAGCAGCTACCTGGGGGAAGCTCTTCTCCAGGCTGTGGCTGAAGCGGCAAGAGGACGGAGCCCAGCTGCGCAAGCATATTTCACATTTCTGGTTGCAGCCCGTTGGTCAAAGCAAGTCACATGGCTGAGCCCCAAATTGAATCATACACCCATCACGAGACCAAAGCAAATCACACTGCCAAGTCTACCATCTAAGGGGCAGTGACAGGTGCTCCCTTTATGGCGGTGGGGAGAGGGGAGGAGTACATTTTTTTTTAGCAGTAATCTAATCTGCATCCCTTTGACGAAAACCCAGCTGCTACCATCGGAATGTTAATAGACCCAATGTAGTGAGAAACCCATGAAATCAAATTGAAGACTCCTGTCTACAATAATCTAATGGAAGCATGGATCGGGCCAGTGCTCTTACAGGAGAAAAACTGAACTCGGTCTGGGAGTGTCAGTGCAGTGCTGTCACTTAGTCTGATTACGGCAAAATAAGCAGAGACAGGTTTCCAACAGCCATATTTCATTCATACTTTGTGGTAATTCAGTCCTACTTGGCCTGATTTTGTCATCGTGCAACCTTCTATCAAATCAATAATGTAATCTTGCTCGTGACCTAATTACGTGTAGTTTTTACCATGGTTTTCCACACTCGGGTTTATGTGACCAGAGCTGAGCTGGCTTTTTCAGATTTTTTTTAAAAATATAGACTCCTGGGACGGAGGGCATAGCTCAAGTGGTAGAGCACGTGCTTAGCACGCAGGAGGTCCTGGGTTCAATCCCCGGCACCGCCTCCAAAAATAAATAAACCTAAGTACCTCCCCCTCAACAAAAAGTAAAAAAATACATGTATGTAGATTCCTGAGAGAAATTCTGAACCTCTAACTCTGTAGAGGAGCCTGGGCACCTAAATTTTGTAAAAGGCACCCCTAGGTGATCAGACACATTCAGATTTGGAAACACCAAACTCAGAGCTTACACACGGTGCGTAATTAGGGCAGGAGAGCAGAAAGAGCGGTTTCAGAGGCACGCCTGTTTCATGGTTTTTTCAATGATGCCAGCATGCGTTTCTCGGTTGCAGGGTACAGCAAGTGTGTTCTCGTTGGCCATGACTGGGGCGGCATGATCGCCTGGCTGATTGCCATCTGTTACCCCGAGGTGGTGATGAAGCTTGTCGTTATTAACTTCCCTCATCCAAGTGTATTTACAGGTGAGTTTAAATTTCCATTAAAACATCTCTGATGACGTGACAACTCAGTATTGTCACTGACACGTTGGATTGAAAACAGCAAAATTTGATTAACATAATATTTTTGAAATGAAATGACTAAAATATGGTGTTAGTACAGGACGATGTCATATAGCTTGGTTTTAGATATTCCTGAAGAGTCGAAGGAAGTGTAGGTTTACATTTGCTTGCATAATGTTATCACTTTTTAGAAAACATTTGCCACTAACTTGGGGAGAGTTAAAGGGAAAAATGCAGTGACATCACTTTGACAGTGATGAGTCTTGACAGCCTGGAAATGAATGCTCTTGCCTGACGGCTTTGGCTCTCAGGAATGGCAGGGTTCTTTAAAGAAGCAGTTGTCAAATTTTTGGCCTCCTTCATCCTCTTAAAAATTATTAAAGACCCCACTGAGCTTTTGTTTATATGAGTTATACCTATAAACGTTCACTGTATTGGTAATTAAAAGTGAGAAATTTTCAAATGTTTATGCATTAATTCGTTTTTAAAAGAATAAATCCAATACACGTTAACCTAAATAACATTTTATTGAAAACTAACTGCATCTTCCAAAACAAAATTTTGGTGAGAAGAGTGTTACTGTTTTGTGTTTTTGCAAACCTCTTTCATTGTTGGCTAATAGAAGACAGCTGTATTCTCAGCTCTGCTTCTACATTCAATCTGTTGCCAATGTTTGAATTGAAGTATGTGAAGGATCTGGCCTCACGCAGATTTGTAATTGGAAAGGGAAGGAGTGTTTGAATAGCCTTTTCAAATAAGTGTGGGTATACGTCTTGAATACTACCCCAAACTCAGAAACTGGTGGTTTCTTAAAGGTTAGTAACAGTGTGGAACCTGATGCCCTGTTAATGGACTTTTTGTGCTCTGTTACATTAAAACCCTTTGGTCTCTTTAGCACTTCGAATGGATTTTTTACCCATGCATGATTTTGCAGTTGTCATGCATTGGAAGATACTGGTTCAGTGAGTTATGCAGATCTTCCATAAGTTGACACATTTCATTATGTGATATCAAAGAATCACGTTCATTAATATCAACCCACTTTCATCAAAAAAAAAAGAAAAAGCCTTTAAGTGTTGCAAAGCTGTCAAGCTCACAGTAGCAGACACAAGTTCCCCAAATTCTCGTTTTCATTTGAAAGCTTGAACTTCTTCTTTGGCAACAAACACTGTTGATTGTTTCCCCTCAAGTGACAGGTTTGCTTTGTTCATTTTCAAGAGACCATCACTAAATACCCACGTCTGACTGGTGATAGTTCGCTAGTCATTCTTTCAAGTAAAGATGGTGTTCCAGGAAAAATGCAGCGAATTCAGGTTATCAAACAATGGCAGAAGGGCTTTTCCTCGAGACAACCATTGCCTCTGGGCGTTCAGCGGCACTGCCATATGTGCACTTGCTATTTCATTACGATGTTAAAAGATGTCTACACAGGGGTAGAAATTTAATGAAATTAGTAATTCTGCTGTTTCATCAAAGACATTCGTCAGTGAAACTGGTACTTCATGTGTCTATCTGTTTACAGCGTGTGTGTGGCGGTGAGGATCACTGTGCCTGCTGTATATAGTGCCACCACCTTGGCTCAGGCTCAGGCAGCAGTGGCTTTATCTCCTACTGCTTTGTGCCATCAGTACAAATGTCAGCAAAATGAGAACAGCTACTCGTATTGTTTTGAAATAGTTTGACCATCTGGATACTTTAAAAGTGTCTTAGGGATCCCCAGGGGTCCACATGGACTATGCTTTGGGAACCTCTGCTATAAAGGGGACTCTTAAAATCTTCAGAGTGACTAAACAAAAACCTGTAAACAATGGCTAGGCACAGTTATATTGGGTTTTGACAAAAATTAGAATTTTGCTCTCTTGAAGTATCCTTGTCAAATTTTCTATGACCCACAGCCACCCTCTAGGGAATGAAAAATTCAGAAAAATGTATTTCTATTTCTTCCTCAAAATTAAAGTAAGGGAGAAAGGGAGCGTGACTGTAAATATTGTACAAGAGCTGAACTTTAGATACATATCCAGCTGTCCTATCTTGGTCGAGATAATAGGATGGATGCTTAGCATTCAGATGCCAAACTGACGGTCATCACAGTTCTCTCAGTTGCATCAGGCAGTGGAAGTTGTGCGTCATGCTTGTCCAGTTGATCAGGAGCCTAGTAAGTGTTACTGTGGTGGCGCTGCTGTTACGGACAAACTGTAATTGGTCGTTTCAGTAAGAAGATACTTGGATTCTGAAACTGTCAATAATAGGTTCAACCCTGCTCAGGTCAGTACGAGGTATTCAAGTAATATGACTGTATTCGCCCCTTAATTGCACTGATAGCTCTTAAGGAGGGCCAAATAAATTTTACTCAGTGATGACTTTGCAAAAAGTATAGCGTAACAGTGCTCCACTTACCTAAGAATTACAATTCTAAAAGCTCCAACCATTACAAAATTCAAAATAAGCAAAAATTTACCTCTAAGGCAAGGAAGTGTGCACATTTAATATGTGTGATTCCATTACTCCCTGGTTTAAAATTTCTAGATACATAAATGAACTTATAGGGAATACTTTAGTTTCTGTTAAGGCCGAATGAATAAGATATTCAAATCAGCATGTAAGGATAATCTTTTAAACAACGGAAAATTACTTCCCCACGTACGCTGAGGAAAAGTGTGACGTCCTGATAATGACCTTGGAGGAAAGGCAGTGCTGTTTGGGTTTCCTGTTCCTTTCTGAATTAACACTTCATAAAGTGGAACGAACTTTCTATTTGAAGTGTTATAAATATTTAAAATGCAGAAATATCCAAAATAAAATATGAGAACATAGTAATTGCTCTGAAGAGAAAAATACAGAAGCCTTGTTTGTGGATTCTTTTATGGGATTATCTCGAAGGTGAAACTGCCTTAAAAGAAAATAATTTCAATAGCGAGTAATGCATACCCCGTGGACAAGGTCTAACATAGTGTTTTAATTTCAGAATATATCTTACGACACCCTGTCCAGCTGTTCAAATCCAGTTATTATTACTTCTTCCAAATACCATGGTTCCCGGAATTTATGCTCTCCATAAATGATTTCAAGGTAAGTCAAACATGGGGATGCATGTTAACCAGACTGATTGTGATGATCATTTTGAATGTATACAAATATTGAAGCATTATGTTGTATCCTTGTAACTAATACAATGCTATATGTCAAATGTAACAACTAAAAAAGAAAGACTGACGCCCAAGAGGATGGCAAAACTAGGAAGCTAAAAATCACAAAGATAGACTGAAGCACTGAAGACAGACAAACCCCCACAAAGCTAGTCCTGCTCGTGTTGTTCTGATCTGGTTTAAATAAGCATTTATTGTGTGTCAGTTACATGCCGTGCATTAGGCATTTCCTCGTATGCAAAAAAAAGGGGGAGGCAAGTCAAACAATTAATATATTATTTTTTAATGAAAAACATGTAAAATTAAAATCCATCCTTAAGGGAAAAAAAACAGACAAATGCTGAGATTTCATAACTGCTTCTCAGGCTTCCTCTGCAGGCTCCCTTCCTTTTACACTGTTTGTGTGCTTGAGTGCTCGGCTGTTAATTCAATTTTTCCTAAGAGCCTCTGCCCCTGCAGGCATGCTTCTTTCTAGAGAACATCTCAAGGGGAGATAAGAGGACAAGATGCCTGGTAAGAGAGTTTGACAGCAGCGAAAGCGGAGGCCCTTGGGAGTAAACAAAACCCTGCAACGCAGCTCAGCCTGGCGGTACTGGGGCGCCACGTGCACCGGCGCCAGGAGTCACGTGTGGTGTCTGTTTCTCCCAAGTTACTCGTGTGCTTCTTGTTTGTCCAACATGGTGTTAGGTATTTAGGGAGATTGAAAAAAGAGATAATATTATTTTACTTGGAAATACTTCTGCATGTACCTTGGACAGATGAGGACTTTAAAAAAAAACATAACTCCAATGTTATTATCAAACCTAACAGAACAAATAATAACATCTTAGTATCATTTAATGCCCATTCAGATTTCCTTAACTGTCTCACCTGTCTTTATACACTTCATGTGTTTGAATCAGGAGTCAGACAAGGTCTCCACATTGTGTTTGGTTGTTATGGCTCTTAAAGTCTGTAACAGTCCTTCTTTCTTTTTTTTTTAACACCATTTTTTTTTTTTTAGGAAGAAATTTGGTCATTTGTCCTGAGGAATGGTCTACTTTCTGGGTTGACTGACTGCTTCATCGTGATGTTATTCAATTAGTTCTGCTAACCCTCGTTTCTCCTAATTCTTAGGTGCTACTGATCTAGCAGCTTAATTAGACTGAGTTTTATTTTGATTTTATTCTAGGTGGCGCTGTGCATTTCTTAATGCATCACGTCAGGGAAGCACAGAATGTCTAGCTGTCCCAGTTTTAGTAACACTAACGTTAACTAGCCGGCTCACAAGTTGTCAGCCTACCCAGATTTCCTAACAACCTTTCACCAGAGAATTTCAGCATACTTTGACCATCACTGCCTAGGTTCATTGTTTCATTAGAAAATATTCATTTTCTAGTCCTCCTATTCTTTCTGCTTTTATTAATTGGAATTCTTCTATGAGGAAGAATTTTCCACATCTACTATTTGGTTATTCTGAAATATAGTTCCCACAAGAATGGCAGGATAAATGCTTCATTTTTATTATATTGTTTTATTACCCTTTATAAACAACTTCCAGAGTGAGGAGTTCAGGCTTTAGAAACCTCCAGTGATGAGCAATGAGGATGCTCATTCTTTTCATATCGTTACGAGCTCATGAGCTTTAAAGAGGTACTTGGTACGTCTCAACCTGTTGCAGTCATTTCTCTCTTTGATGCCCAAGTCATCCCATATGGGGCACTTGTGCACCGCTTCCGGTTGGCCGCTGTGTCCTCTTGACACAGCCCTTTAGGCCGTGATGGCTTGCTTCCTTCGTGTCCTAGGGTCATCTTTTATTTCCTGCTCCTGATCTGGAGTCAGGCATTTATGGAAGGAACGCTGCCTCCCATTGGTAGGAAATGGTGTTTAGCGACCACAGTCTGGGTGTCAGGGTGATCATTCTTACTTTGTTTTCATTGCTTCTAAATCTTTCCATTGGACAGAATTTGGACATATATATATTTTTTAGACAGAAAAAAGTTATGAGTTCTTATTCACATCTCCAAAGCAAATGTAAGGCTGTAGGGTTTTTACTTAACTTCTATGATTTTATATAAAACATTTATATAGTTCCAAGTCAAAACTCTAAGAGAGGTCTACATTCAGAGAGGTCTCACTTGTGTGTTTCTTGTTTCTCTGTCTCCATCCTATTTCTTCCCTTTCTCATAGAAAACCATTTTGGTTGGTTTTTGTTTCATCATTTTATTGTTTCTTTTTAAAAATAAAAGCAAATATGTATACATTTGTCTTCTTCTCACACAAAATGAAACACACTATAAACACGACTTTCCACCCTTTTTTTTTTTCACTTAACAGTATTCCCTGGAGATGACTCCATTATCGGAATAGATTGTCTCCATCTTTTCTTGGAGTACTAAAAGCACATAACACACCATCATGTAGCTATACTACAATTTATTCAATCAACCCTCTAATTGTGGACATTTGTTTCCATTCTTTTTCTATTACAAATAATATTGCAGTGAGTCACATCCTGCACATGTCGTTTCACATTTCTGCAAGTGTGTTTTGGGGCTGAGAGATCTAAATTTAAACAAGGCTCCTAATAATTCTGATGCAGGTGGTGTAGGTACGTCCTTTCAGAAATGCTGTCATAAAGCAGTGTTTTTCAAATTGTAGGTGGGGAACCATTAGTGAGTCATGAAATAAGTTTTGCAATTCAATAAAGAGGCTTGCAGTTTAAATTTTTAAAAATAAAGTAGAACAGAATTGAACTGAAAATATCAGTACTTGCCGTAATAAGTGTCAGGGCTATTTCTTTAAACTTTTGTTTCAGAATTATATTTGTAGAGATATGAACTAGATCATGATGTAAAATGTATTTGTTACTCTAGGCTGTGGTCAAAAGAAGTTCAAATAACTTTGCAGGGGGCCTTGATTGTTATCAGTAAACAGACAAATTGTTGTCAGCTGGAACATTAGGGAAGGCCTTAAGGTAGGCATAGAACTTGAGCTCAGCCTTCTAGAACGTGAATTGACACCAAGAAGACACGGTGGTTTTCATAAAGGTGAAGTGTGCATAGGGGACTAGAAGGAAGGACTGTCAAAAGCCAGGAAAGCAGAAATGTATAAAATGTGCTTGTAAACAGTGAATTCTCCAACCTGGCTAAAGCAGCAATTGGGAGCTATCACTGCACATTGACCCTCATTCTCTTTCAAAAGCCAAAGATTGAGTTACTGTTAGGTAACTGAAAAGGTTTAATTATTCTCCTGTCACTTATTAGGCTTTGAAACATCTGTTCACTAGTCACAGTACTGGCATTGGAAGAAAAGGATGTCGATTAACAACAGAAGATCTTGAAGCGTATATTTATGTCTTTTCTCAGCCTGGAGCATTAAGCGGTCCAATTAACCATTACCGAAATATCTTCAGGTCAGTATAATTTCTTCTTTTTAGTTAAACAAAATATCCACTCCATACAGAGCCAGTACTCGATTTTTTTTCCTTTTTCAGTTTTATTAGGTAGAATTATTACAGTTCGACTGCACATACACATTATTTTGCATGTAAATACGTATATACAATATACTTTACATTTTTTTGTTTATATATATGTGCCGATCATTGTTTCTAAGAACAGATTAGAGCTTTAGCTTTTTTAACTACATAGTTATCAGGGGAATAAAGCCAACCGCAAAGTAAGTATCAACAGAATGTGGTACTCCAATCATAAAAGACAGTCAGATGTGCTCACATATTCAAGAAATCAATCATCTTAGTTATAAATAATAACTAGTTCATTTGTGTCCTTATTATTGCTGTTATTTTTTTAGGCTCCTCATATAAGTGATGTCATATGGCATTTTTCTTTCTCTTTTCGGCCCACTTCACTTAGAATGATGATCTTCAGGTCCATCCATGTTGCTGCAAATGGCATTATTTTATTTTTTATGGCTGAGTAGTATTCCATTGTATAAATATACCACTTCTTCTTTATCCAGTCATCTGCTGATGGACATTTAGGCTGCTTCCATGTCTTGGCTATTGTAAATAGTGCTGCTATGAACATTGGGGTACAGGTGTCATCCTGAAGTAGGGTTCCTTCTGGATATGTGCCCAGGAGTGGGATTCCTGGGTCATATGGTAAGTCTATTCCTAGTCTTTGGAGGACTCTCCATACTGTTTTCCACAGTGGCTGCACCAAACTGCATTCCCACCAGCAGTGCAGGAGGATTCCCTTTTCTCCACAGCCTCTCCAGCATTTGTCATTTGTGGATTTTTGAATGATGACCATTCTGACTGGTGTGAGGTGATACCTCATTGCAGTTTTGATTTGCATTTCTCTCATAATTAGTGATATTGAGCATTTTTTCATGTGCCTATTGATCATTTGTATGTCTTCCTTGGAGAATTGCTTGTTTAGGTCTTTTGCCCATTTTTGGATTGGGTGGTTTATTTTTTTCTTATTGAGTCGTATGAGCTGCTTGTATATTCTGGAGATCAAGCCTTTGAAGGTTTCATTTGCAAAAATTTTCTCCCATTCCATAGGTTGTCGTTTTGTTTTACTTATGGTTTCCTCTGCTGTGCAGAAGCTTGTAAGTTTTATCAGGTCCCATTTGTTTATTCTTGCTTTTATTTCTTCTAGGGGAAAATATTTGAGATGTATGTCAGATAATGTTTTGCCTATATTTTCCTCTAGGAGGTTTATTGTATCTTGTCTTATGTTTAAGTTTTTGATCCATCTTGAGTTGATTTTTGTGTATGGTGTAAGGGAGTGTTCTAGCTTTATGTTTTACATGCTGCT